GTGTTCTCTGCTTCATTAATAAGACACCAGTTGAAATAGTGCATATAGCTTTGGTAATTGTATTTCAGAGACATAATGGATTCAATCAAAATTTAGAAGAGTACCACAAAAAATGATTCCTGGGTTGGGCAAAAGTCTTGCAGTGTAAAGTTTGTGTTGGATTTGTTTTGTTGAATTGGAGAGAAGGCTGAGAAGTGATATGTTTGTCATGTGTGGGAGAAAGGCAGGACATTTTAGGCTTGTCAACAAAAAGAATTATCTTTTTGTTTCCTTGCGGATTGCATCATGCAATGACTGGACTTCTGGATGGGGAACAGGTTTCCCCAAACTCACACTGGCAGAATATTTCCCCCCATCTTTTTCTGTAGTATATGTGGCAGTATACGATACTTTTATATGCTTATATACTGTCTGGAAGGTAACTTAAAATATTAGTCTTCTTTGCAACATAAACTCAAGAAATAAGTAGTGCTAGTCTCAATTACAAACACTGAGATATTTTTGCTTAGGACATGCCCAAGCCTGACATTCTGCATCACAGCAATTATCATTATCAAATAATCACAATTGGAAGAATGAAGACTGCACTGCATCTAATGCATTTTTTAAATTAGCGTGGTCTATTTCTTTTTTCCTCATGGTGTCACTATAGGATAAAGTTAATGCTTATCAGGTATTCTCTGTACTGGAGCATATTTCCATCTCCTTTCTTTCACTCTGACTTTCTGGAATTCTATTATGTGTTTAGAAAATATGATAATAAGTACACTGCCTTCAAATTTGGACATGTTCTCTCAAGCACTGGCCCATCCTTAACACTGAGCATGACTTTTTCTTTTTTCTTTTTTTTTTTTTTAATATTAGAACAAATTTAGCTTTGTGTAAGGGTGTGGAGAATTTGAGCAGTTGTTCTAATGACTTGAAAGTAGAATTGCAACATTTAAGAAGACAAAAAGGGATGTATCTTAACATTAAGTGAGCTTTTGGATTTAAATCTGTGATAGATTTTTCATCACACATAGAAACTATAAGGTCCTCACAGAATCACAGAATGGGTAAGGTTGGAAGGGTCCAACCTCCCTCCTCAAGCAGGGTCATCCTAGAGCATGTTGCACAGGATTGTGTCCAAGCAGTTCTTGAGTATCTCCAGTAAGCTTCATTTTTTTCTTATGTTGTTGTAAAGTATTTTGAATTTGACTTTTCTGATGGATAGAAAAATTAGTTTTCCTATCCAAACTCTCAGTGTCAAGAGAATATGAGAGAGAAAGAAAGAGAATTTTGTTTCGTTTACATACTGGTAGCATTTTTGCCTGTCTAATTGTTACCACTTTACTCAGACCCACATTCTCAAATATATCTAGGTACCTGACTCCACAGGAGAAGGATGAAAGATGTGGCACTACATAAAAATTAAGTAGAACTGCAGAGAAATTTGCTTGTGCTCTTTATTAGAGCAGGAGCTAGATGTAGGTGCAATTTCCCATTCATGCATTTTGAGCACAGCCTTCCTGAAAGGCAAGGACCATAGGCCATTTTCTGCCTCTTCAGTAGGACAGCAGTGTTTGGGCTGATTGCATTCAGGCTTGTAATGAGGATGAGTGTGACTGTCTAGTCAGCAGGAAGGAAATCATCCACCAGTTCTACAAAATCTACATCCAGTGCGAACTCTGGCCACAAGTGAAGCTTGTGTATGTGTTTCAGTTAGCTGAGCTTCTGGTCAACCTCTGTCTAGCTCAGGTTATCAGCTCACAGCTGTGAGAGTTAACTAGAATCAGCATTTTATTAACTAGAATCAGCATTTTATTAACTAGAATCAGCATGGACTTGATAGTGGTAGGGTCCATTTATTAGCTTAGCAAAGAACCTGTTTCACCTAATGAAGTTACAGAGGACTAAACAATTAAAGAGCTTTTCAGTAGAAGCCTGAGCATTATACCCCTATGCTTTCCAGTGAGCTGAAAATCCTGTCAATATTTCCAGCCAGTTAAGAGCCCTTTTTTCTCCCACTCTCTTCAGATGGTTTTTTAACATGAGATAACAGCTATCCCTCTTCTTATCTAAGTGCCCACATCTAAATATTTTCCCTAATCCCTATGCCATGTCTTTCACTTACGTACTTGTCACTGCCACATAGTTCCTCCACAGAGTCAATTGTTTTTTGGGCTGGTAGTTTGGAGACAGTTAAGTTACTATTTCTAGATTGTTGTCTTGATGACATCTTAGACATTGTACTCCAGTGAAGTGTGAAGCAGGCCAACTGAACAGACACGTTGAAAGAAATCTAGGGCAAAATTAGAGTTCTGCACGTGGCACAAACTGCCTGTTTTAACCTAGAATGGAAGGAATAAACTATTTCACAGTTGGAAGTGCAAGTTTATTAGTTGTCTAGCATGCTGCTTCTTTTTCAAAGGACAGCCAACCTGCCAATTGTCTTCTCAATGGTTACCATTTTATGGCCATGCCAGTTTTTGATGCTGAGATGTTGGCTTTAAACTGCAAGGCGTGTGTACCCTTCTTCTGCAGGAGAAGCAGCCTCTCATGAACTGAGACACCAGAACTGGACATGCTGAGTGTTCCTTCTTGCCAGCTGTGAGTAGTGGCTCTTCTGGCTTTTAAAAAACACTAGACCAGTTTGGAGGAGTCACTCTGTCCAGTCTGAAATGCAGTATAAACATCTGCTTTAGGAAACCCTCCAGCTCCACAAACATAGTGTTTCCTCAGGAGTTTCTCCAACTTGAATCCTTCTCCCAGCAGCAGCTTTTTTGCCTTGCATACATAGTGGTACATCCCTCCTCCCACCTCAGCCCACACTATGATTTCAGAAATGCTTGTTAGGCCTTGGCCTTGATAAATAATAGCTGGGCTAAGCTCTCCTTGAGCTTATCAGAAACACTGTCTGCCCCCAGGAACTTATGTTGGCTAATGAGCTCTTGTTATTTAGTGAACAGCCTTGGAAACTTATTTCTCCTGCGTGAATAACAATGCACGTGTAACAACATTTTTAGGATTGATTTTTCACAGAAAGTAACTGACCCGAATTGTGGCCAGGATGGAAAATTACTATGTTCAAAGCCAAGTCTCCTGTGACCCAATAAACAGCAGTCCTAAGTAAGACCCTTTGAGCTCTCCTGGACCACAGTGGGCTGCGACCAGAAATCTCCTTCTGAGTGGGACCCTTCTCAGACCCAGCAAACTCCCAAGTTTGCTATCAAAGTTTGCTCCCAAGTTTGGAGGATCACAGCCAAAAGCCAGTGATGGAGACTGGGCTCAGACCCCCACTCCTTGAGGCTCAACCCTTTGCCCTTTGAGAAGGTGCAAAGGCATCAGACCTGAGCACTGAACTCGAGGGGAATTTTTCACAGGTATTACATACCTTGTACATACTCCTTTAGGTCTGTGTGCATGCAAGTATGAATACACTATAGCAAATGTACTATGAATGTTGCTCTCTTAGAGTCTTAAGTAGGTTAGATTCATAAGTTAAGCCTGTGAGTTACTGTTGTGCTCATTGTAAATTTTATGAAGTATTTTCTTAAATTGTTTAAATTATGCTATCAATTAAGTGCTGTTATGTTTAAGAGCTGTTAAAACCTTTAGGCCTAAACCACTGGTTAAGTCTGAGGCTGAGTTTGGCAAGGGGGTCCACTCTGAACCTTGTGACTCATTCCTTTTTATCCTTACCCTTTTCCACCTTACCTTTTCCCATCCCCAGCCTCCATGCAGATAATTTTAGACTGACTTTAGTATTAGATTGAATGATTTTAGATTTTAGTCTGATTTTTCTCTGTGTGTTTTAACCATCTAGTAAGCAGGAGAGTGCACTTCACCAATGAACTTCATCGTGCTTTCACATTTTTATTAAACTTGCTTTTGCTGATACCTTTGCCAGTGTTTCTTTGAGTGACCTAAAACACCCATTCACAACAGCATATTAGAGACCTTACCCAAATAATTCTCAAAATCCTTTGTCACCCACACCTCATTTTGATTTGAATTTGCTTATCTGCTCATGTCAAATCCAATCTACTTCTTTATCACCTCTCTTCTTTTGCCTGTTCTCCACCCTCCCACTGTAAGACAGTCATTGCGATTGGTTTTACAGCATCCTAATACTCCAATTTTTTCACATACCCTTGCTGAACAACTGTCCCATGCCAGAGGGGACTCTATGGACTTCTCTCCAACTGGCTTACACTGTATCACAGTTAGTGAGGGAAATACTTCCTTCTAAAGTCCCAGGTTTCTGCAATTACAAAAGTGCCTTATGTCTGTTAATTCTTATCTTTCCTTCTAGTTTCAGTTTTTCTGCTCTGGGGGCTTCTGTTCAGTGCCTTGCTGTGTCCCCAAACCTTCACACTTATTTCCTGCCCTAGCAGTCTTTCATCTATCTCATCTTTCATCAGTCTTGCTAGTCATCCTCAGTCTCTCTTGCCCCAATTATCTCTCCCAAACAAGTTCAGCTGCTTACTGTGCCACCTTACCTACTTGACATCTCTTTGATAAACATAGATCAAATTCTTCCCGCAAGGTGCCAGTTCTTCCTGTTGTTTCACACCTTTCCTTTGCATCTGCTTAGAGTTGTGCTGCAACTCCTGTCTCATCCTTTAATTTTAGGGGTCACTCAGCTGCATAAGAGGTGCTCCAGTTTTATACCCTGAAAACCTGGCCACTCTGTACTTTGTGTGCCTGAAGTGAACGTGTTTTAACAGAACTCCCTGCGAGAGTTTTTACAGGGTGCAATTAAATATGGGAAGTCAGCAGTTGATTAGTGCATGGAAGAACCAGTTAATTAAGGACTTTAAAGTGTGAAGTATTTACCACGTGTAAACAAAATCCGTATTCCAAACCAAAACTGCCTCCACAGCAATTTCTGGATTTGCTCAGCACAAGATCTGAAGCCCAAGGAAATGGGAGGGGAGGACTTTGCACGCATTTCAGTACCCTTTGCATCAGGCCACCTACTTCCTTTAGCAATGATAAAATGATGCACAAAGCACTGGGACTGTACAACTTCATTTTATTTTGTGTGCTTTTATAGGATATAAATAAATGACAAAATTACAAAATTTATAACTGGAAGCCCAAGCATATTTACATAAGTCTTTGTTGCAGTGAGGCTACTATTTACTGTTCTCCTATACAATTTTCCTTTTGGTACCATATTTTTAGTGTTATTTTTTTTACTGTCAGTTGACTAAGTACATATCAACAGTGAATAGGCAAAAATATGTACAAGGAACTATTTTGTTCAAGTAAATTGAATACTGTATTAAAAGTATGTCATCACTCAGCGCTATGATTAGGTGTAACTAAACCATATACAATTATCAGGTTTAAACCAAGTTCAATTATCCATTTTTTGGAATATACCAACTGATGATTCTAACTGAAAAACCTCAGCTGGATATGAAATAATAATTAAAAAAACATTAAGACAACCACACAATTTTTCAATATCTCTATAATGAACTTCAAAATGATTCACAATTTGACTGGATAGAACAATATACGTTAAAATGTCATTTTTCTCCTATAATGATATTTGTACTGTTATAATTTCAGTTCTACATAAATATACATCATGGTATTATACAAATACTCCACAGACATTAAAAAAATTAAAACACTTCAAAGAAAAAGTAAGTAAATCTTATTTAATCAAATATTAAGCAAATGCTTAACTTTTGTTCCATGAAAACATTTTTATTACTTTGGAATTTTTTCTTTTTCTCAGTATTTTTATTTAGAAAATGTTTTGCAATAGAATTTTATCAACACTCTTTCAAACAAGTTTTCTGTGACAGAAATCTTGATAGCAAAATCCATGGTTTTGACTTTTTTTTAGAACCACTGAGATTGTTTTTTAAAAATATTAGTAGAATTCATGGCTATAGCAATGTTGAACTGCATAAACTATATGTAGGTGTAGTAGAATGACCATTCCACTTTCATTCCAGACTGATTACACGGAACATCCAGTGCACTGATGCTACAAGTCTTACAATTTTCATATGCTGCAATAGCAGTCGTTTACTTAACTTTAAAATAAACAATATTTCTCATAATTAATCTGGCTTCCTTCCATAAATATTCATATGTTTTCCTATAGTACTTCTCTTCCATAAAAATATCTAATAAATGTTTTCTGTGCATTATTAATACCTTTTTCTATCAATTCATAAAACTCTGATCCTTTGCTACAATGCAAGAGGTTCTTATTTTTGTAGAGGATCAAAGGACATCAATTTTTACATATAAAATCAGCGCACACAGAAATCAGGGTACCTAATTTCTTGTCACTTTAATGAGTTCCTTATTCAACACAGTAATTATTAATGAATTCAGTGGTTTCACAAATAATCTATTTATTAATTCTGGTTCTATTTCAATTAAAAACTGCCAGGATTCAAATAAAAAACCCAATCAAATACTCTACTCATAGGCAGCAGTAGTATTAGTTTAGAGACCTTTTGTTTTTTTTCTTTAAAAAGTAGAATCCTAAAATAAGAAATCAAAGAAAGCACTGTGGCAGAGTCACAAGGGAGAACTGCGTGAAAAATAAGGTTTCTCACTCCTCTTGTGGACTGTAATTTTAAAAGTCTTCATATAGTGTCATTCTTCTGTCAGTGCTGCAGGAAGAAGAACATCACCAGAAATGACTGTCAGCCTTTTTTGTTAGTTACAAGGCCACCATACAGTGCAGTCTTCCTCTCTGCTGGATTGAAACGTTGCCATAAAGGAAAGGCTGTGCTGTGACTGCTTGGCGTGCAAGGCACAACAAGGAACAGGGGGACAGTTTTGTATCAGAAAATTGTAGTTTCATACTTGGTATTAATGCCTCTTTTGGCCTCTTGTCCAGGTTCAACAATCCACGGTAGATTCGCAAGAGTCTTTTGTTCGGATGGATCTATCTGCTGTAAGACAAACGCAAACATACACAGGGGTTACCAGCTCTGTGCACAGCAGCTCCAGCAGAACTTTTTTCTTTAAACTAACAGAACACAGAACAAATCCTGAGTGGACAAAGTCCTACAGCAGCGAGTATGGTGGTGTCTACACTCCCATGTACTCACGGCTGCCTTCTTCTTCCTGTGGAGATCAGAGCTGTGTCTACCCCCAAGCTATAGGGCACCATAGTTCGTTAAAGCCACGCTCGATCCTGAGAAGTCTGTTTGCTAATGAGACAGACGATAGCATCAGGAAACGTTCCTACTTACAATTTTATGGAGGAAGATTCTGTGGCAATGGATGACAAAGTGTAAAGTCATACATTTTTTTTTCCCCGTTCTCTCACCCAGTAATTAAATATCACAGTCCTCACTTTATAGCCAGTGAATATGATACAGTGTGCAGTCATTTTTCTCCTTTCCCTCCAAAATCACCCTATGCCTGTATTTTCACTTGATTTAAAATAGCTTTCATAATTTTTTTAAAAGTTGTACTATAAAAGAATATTTCTCTGTCATCTCTGCACTTCAGGAGGGCCCTTTAAAGACAATCAATATGTAGGCTCCAACGAGCAGTTGTTTGAAACAGCTGCCTGTGCTGTGGTGACACAAGCCAGCCGGCTGATGAGCAGAGGTGACACAATGGAGCATTTCTGACTCAACAGGTATTTTATTTGTACAGCTTCTAGTATATAAACTCTTAACTGTATAGCTGAATTTTGGGGTTTTTTGCATGCATAACTACCTTCTACTTACCACTGACTTCCGAATACTAACACGTGGTTTGGGAATAGGTTTAGAGGGTTTGTTTTCAAAGCTTTCTGGGAGGGTTGAAGAATGGCCCCCTTTTCGTGCTTGTAGTGCAAGCTGATAGGCCACCTCAAATGCTTGTCCTAGGGTAAGAATGATTTCATAAGCTAAATTCTGGAACAAAACAGAAACAGTTAAAATTGGAGTGAGATTGTATTATTGTTGGATACGTGAAGTGGGGTAGTACTGCCTACAGAAGTGATTTGCAATGTAAATAATTAAAGTCATACTGGTAATAGCTTCTTTAGTCTCTGTAATGTTTACATTTGTCATTTGATTTCTCATTGATTAAAAACAATCTAAATGTAATTTATTGTATTGAAAGTAATTACTTCTAAAACCCTTGAAAACATTGTCTCATGGAAACAGGAGTGAAAAAAGAGTGTCATCTCTTTTCAGAACAAGTACATTAACTGCCCCAGCTTCCCAGCTCACCCCATAACTGCTCCTGTTGTGATCCCACCCCTCTTGCACTACTGCACCTATGTGACATTTGGCCTTGCTCTATTTTGGAGCTCTTCTGTTGACCTGTCCTTCTCCAGAGCCAGCAGCCTGATGTGCTGCTTCCCTGGCTACATGCTTTGGGATGCTCACCAAGCAGCACGGGAGGAGGCTGCAGCACTGGTGTGATGCTTCCAAAAGGACAAAAAAGCCAGTGTTGAAAGTGTATATTCTGCTTCACACATGCAGTACAGCTAGGCGTGCATGGAAGTCAGTGCACCACTCTGGATGTGTGCTTCAAGTGCTGGGGAAACCTTCTCATGGTTTTGTTTTCTAGAAGTAAAATTGTTTGAGTTTAAACTGCCATGTAAGAACACTCTTGTAAGCAAGGGGAAGGGAGTTGGTGCGCGTAACCAGAGAAGTCAGGCTCTGAAGCCTGACCAGTTTGGTGTTATAGGTAGAATACTTTAAATCCTCATTGAATATGGGGAAGAAAACCTGTTAAAAGATTTATAAAGCATGAATGAGGTATCAGAGGATTGGTATAAATATTTTTTTAGTACAGTTTTACAACAGTGAAAAAGCAGCTGTAAGTTTCAAGTTTGACCTTAAATCTAAGCAGCAAGTGAATTCCTATGGTAATTTTTCTTCAGGTTTGTGGGTTTGTTTTGGTATATTTATTTCTGGGCTCCTACTAGAGCCTATTTTTAGCCTGTTTCTGGGCTACTAACTTTGCAGTAATGTTTTGAACCTCTGCAGAGCAAATGCAAGCCTGCAGGCTTGCCTCCATATGAAGTCCTACAGTCCCCTTAAAATTATTCATAAATCTTTGATGTGATTCAGAAGTTACCCTCTCCTTCCCTCAACCTCCATAGCCCACAGTTGGAAGCAATTCTGCATTGCTTTGAAACTAGGTGATCCCTTAAAATTCCCACGTTTCTGATACAATTTTAAATGAGACATGTCTTTGCCTAGTCAAAGTCTAACTGTTACATCTGCAGTAAGTTGGAAAGCAAGGCAACACATTTGGAAGTACATAATTTGTCCTTCAATTGTTAAAACAAAGTTAAATGGATAAGCATTTTATTTCACACCCTACACTTTCATTTCCCTGAAGGAATTCAATCCCTTTTTTATCACACGTGTATAGTGAGATAGTACAGGCTAAATTTGGCATATTTAGCTCATTATAAGAGCTTCTTATAAAAGTGCCAGCTCTGGCCTGTGTTAGGTCAGACAGAAAACAATTATACTCCTCCACTGGGACATGCTCTCAGCAGTTACAACTGCAGTTACAACAGCAAGCCAGCCAAAGTTTCAGAGCTTCCCAAATAAAAATGTCTGCCTGATTTGATAGCTGTAGTCTCCAAATTATCTTCCCTTTAACTTCAAGGGAAACTGGCCAGGACCGAGAAACACTGAGGATGCAGTTTGCCAGAGTTGTAATAAAAGGAAAACTAAAGAGGCTATTATGAACTGCTCTGCCTTTTAGCAGAATGCTGGCTATAGAATTAAGAGCAGCAGAGTATAACTGTTAAAAATGTAGAGAATAATATAATTTGAACTGGAGCGTGCTTTTTAGTAGGACGAGAATATTAATCTAAAGACAGATGTCTTTAGAATCAGCTGTTGTGACATTAGAAGAGCATACTATATCATCCTGGGATTGTCTAGAGTGGGTAACATTATTACTAAGGAGTACATCAGCAAGACAGGGTGTAGTAATGGCTTGCAGAAAATGCAGGCTGCAACACTAGTAGGACTGAGAAAATACGCCATCCAGCGAGGCATACCAAAATGTCACCAAGACAGGCTTGAAAATCTCTAAGATAAGCATGGAGACAGACTAAAAGTTTGCCATGCTAAGCCATAAATCTAGTCTGAGTCCTGCATCCTATCTGAAGCCACTATTATTTGTTTTCCTTTGTAGTGTGTAAAATGAAAAAATAGGCCTGCCTGGAGCCTGAAAGCCATAAGAAACATATAACTGTTTCTCTGGTTAATAAATATTTGAAATATAGCAAATAGAACATTCACTATTCTGTTCAATATTCGAAATGCAAACGGGTACATAAATTTCACACATTGTGTACTGTGGTAGAGCCTTGACAAAGGGAAGTCTGCAAATGGAGGCAAGGAGGGCTTTAACATTGTACCTTGTAAAATTTAAAGAACTTATCTGAAAAACTGTATTTTGAAAAAAAAACATAGGTAAATAAGCTTGGTTTGAGGTATTTCTCACCAGTAGTACTGGGAGAGTATTATAAGGATTAGAGTTGGTACAGATTCTTGCAGGGGCTATACTGGAGAGGTAAGAGCAGGATTCCTGTGGGAATAGGGGTGGAAAACCAAACCACAAAATCCATTGTGGAAATCCTTCTGATGGAGTAAGGAAACTATTTGAACTTTTGACATGTGGCACAAAAGGAAGGATACAGGTCTGCCTCCCTGAAAGATGCTTAGCACCAAAGCTGTAGAGCCCCTGGCCGCTGTAAAAGACACTGGCCTTTACAGAACCCCATCAAGCCCTTTAGAAATGAGGCAAAACCTTTAGGACTGTGGTGCTTCCAAGGCTGCTACAATCCTACTCCTTGCTCAGTACTGCAAAGAAGGAAAGTGAGTAAGCTAATGCCTTTAAGCAACAGTTTCTGGGAGATGAGAAATGAGGTCAATTGCCTTGTTTGCTTTGCAATGTTACAATTCAACACCCCAGTGCAAGTCTGAGTCAGGATTCTTCATCTGCTTTAATTCAGCCAACCTATTACAATGGCTGATTGTTTTCTTACATTTTAACTGACTTTTCTGTTGTCTTCTATTCATAGGTGCATTGGGCAATGAAGGAATATCCAATGGAAATTACTCTGGATGTCTCCAATACGTGAGCCAGAATTTGGTAAGGGATGGTTATGATGGTTTAGGATGTTATGATGGTTTGTTTCTCAAGAGGGAATCCTTCAGTGGTAGATTTAAGGCTACTTAGTAAGTGAATGAAAGTAGATTTCAAATATTGAGCAATAAATCCTTTTCTTCCCCCAAACCTTGTCTTCTTCAATATTCTTTCGTCAAGATGTTTTTGCAATTTTGATTATAGAACTTTAACTCTGAGCTATTCTGAAATATTATGCTGGTGGTTGACATTACTAAAATACTTCCCTATCTACAAAGAAATTGTTCTTGTCCACATTTCCCAAGAAACTGAAAGACTTCAGAGTGATTTTTTTCCTGTAACATTGCGTATATTGTATTGCCATAACATATATAACTTAAAATGCATATTTTTACACTTATTGTGGATTTCTACCATTTTAAACCTTATTTTTCTTGAAATGATCAAACTTCTATCCATTGACAAATGAGTAGGATTGCTTCTATTCGTAAACTGGGAGATCAGGCTCTAACATGAGCATTAGATTTTAAACAGAAAATTTAATTCACTGTATGCTTCTGCTCTGAATATCTAGCTATTTTTTCTACAGCTTGTACTTGCATCAAAAATGCTAGATCTTGAGAAATAAAACAACACAAAAAGGGAATATTTGAGTAGGTAACACCCCACTGAGGATTATGTTGCAGGAGAAAACTAAGTTATGACAGTTTGACAATAAAGTTTCTGTATTGCTTAAAATAGCCGTTTAAAGTGCTTGGGGTATTAAATGCTCCTCCTAGGATACAGGAAGTGAGCAAAATGTAATTATTCCTGGATCACTTTTCTTCCCTTGCCAAGAAAGGAGATGAATTTTATCTGCTATATACCTGAGTCTATGTTTGTGCTTGATTATTAAACCTATAAATGAAACTGCAGTACTTCAAAACCATTAAGAAATATTTAAATGGATGAGGAGAAATAATAACCTCACTCAATCAGTCTAATTTCAGCTGATTCACTTATCACTAAAATCTGTATAATAGAACATCTTGTTGACCATCGTCTATCTATTTTTAACACAATTTTAAAGTTTTTTCTACTCTCTGTGGACAGTAAAATGCCCACAGAGAATTTAAACAACAGAATGTCACTGAAATGCTAGAATTGCTTCTAACCTACCTGTATAACTTGTTATTTAAATTCTCCTACATGCTATTGCTATGCAATGTTAACTATTCCCTCAGTCCCAAATAAAATGCCACCGTTCAGGCCCTTCTATTTCTTAAACTTATTTATATTCATGTAATCATGTTTCAAGAGTTCATACACATTATACTATAGTAAAATATTTTTTCTTCAATAATTTTGAAGTTTTAATAGCACCTTAAATTTCTCTTGTGCACAACTCAAAGGGCAAGTACTCCTGAAAATTTTGGACAATAAATCTTAGTCCTAAAAACTATAGCTACCACTTATTTCACCAAATTTAGCTCAAAACTGCATGGCCGATTAATTGATGTGTTCATGATTTCTTGCAACAGTAATAATTTGTGCATCCCCATCTGAGAAGCATAAATATAGGAAGAACTGAGTAATTTTCCACCAAAATAACAGGAGTTCTAAGGACTTACGCTGAAATAACATTTTGAGATACGTAGGCAAGAAAATTTGAACACGGAAATAAGAAATAAAGAATTAATTTGCTATTTTCAAAATAAAGAATATCTTTTTGAAAAGGTAAAGCTGCTGATAAAATAAAATTTCACCAAATTCCATATCTCCCTTAATTGTCAAGCTAAAACTCCCTCTGACATGACAGACAGCAGAGCAGAACAGAGGGATCGGCAAATAATAATAATTTCTGTTGTTACAGACTTTTCAAATCTTTCAGATTCAGTGTAGTAGCGAAATGTTCCTAGGACCTCCTAAGATATGTAATTAGCTACCTGTGTGGTCTCTGTCAGATCTGTGTTTCGGTTCTTTGGTTAAAATAAATACAAAACTTCTCATACATTTTCTACACATTTGCAGAAGAAGCTTCAGTTTTCCAATTTATTCAGTATAATGCCAAAAAGTCTAAACAATATTTAGAGAGATGAGTTATTGGGACTGATCCAGCTTAACACTGAAACTAAAAGTCATGGAACAGCAGGGTAAGAATCACAAAATAACAGAATGGCTTGGGTTGGGAAGGATCTTAAAGATCATCTAGTTCCAATCCCCTCCTGCCACAGGCAGGAACACTTTTGACTAGACTAAGTTCCTCAAAGCCCTGTCCAGCCTGACCTCAAACACTTCACAGATGGGGCATCCACAACCACTCTGGGCAACCCGTTCCAGTGTCATACCACCTCACAGTGAAGAATTTCTTCCCAATACCTAATCTAAACCTACCCTCTTCCAGTTTAAAAGAAAAAAAGAAATCTGAAGAAATCACTCCTGGTGGTAACATCTGACCTCTTCATCCAAAAAGCAGCCTCCATCTACTTCAAGAAGGTGCGATGTGTCCAGGCTCAGAGGGCCCCCTCAAGTAAGTTCCGACCCTCTAGCTGCTTGTTAGGGGGCATGGGATGGACACACAAGGGTGAAAACCCAGAAGGCTGGATGTCATCAAATCTGTCCTTCCCTGACTGCCCAGGCAGTATAATGCAGTAAAACATGCAGGATGCCCTGCAAACATAGTTTGATCTAGTTCCTGAACCTACATCTTGGCAGGATTGAGCACTGTATATAATGCAAACGGACTAAGATTTCAGAATAGGTGGCCAAACCTGCTTGCTACAAACTTCTTGGAAGGTTATAGCATAAGAATTACATGTCAAGACTTGTATGAAAAGCTACTCGCTAAGTTTACAGTCAACAGCTGAGGTGACAGAGATGACTTATTTAATATGGAAAATGAGATATCAAAGAAAATCTTGGCTCTTCTTCAGAAATGTCCTTTTGATATCCCATTAGTCTTTTCATGTGGTAAATGAATGATACCTTCCATTAATCATCATATACCCTGAAAACATTTTAAAAGAATTAAATAACTATTACTATTACAAAGAACTATTAAATGAAGTATGTTCTATAAACTGACCACATCAAACGCAGTGAATACATGGCAGTAGTGGTGATTAGTCTTCAAGTCTTTAGTGATGTACGCAAATGTAGAAAGGTCTTCGGGGTCTTGTGCAGCACAGGAAATGTTACGGATTTCATGTTCAGCAATGATATTCTGTTTAAAAAGAAATTTGCAATCAATTTAGGAATTAAATTTAAAAGAGCTGTAAAAGGTGTGGGTTTAGATTCACATTTATATTGATCTGCTGTACTGAGGTATTTCAGAAATATCTTAGTAAGAAGAGATTCAATATACCCCATGTGTGATCTTACATAGGTATTTGGAATTTTGATCCTCTTCAATTGCCAAAAATCTGGTAGGAAACCATTATGTACTAGAGTCTTGCATATGAGGCCACTTGTGCTTTGTACAGTTTATTCAGTATCCTTTGACAAAGAGACCTATTTCCTGGCATACAGCTATGAATACTGTTTCAAAGCACTATATGAGCATCTTATGAAGTTGCTGGTTTTTTGTGTAATAATCAAAATAGGACAGTTTCAGTCTACTGACAGACAGGATCTGGTGAAACCTAGCAGGCTCAATAGCCAGATGTTTGCATGTGGTGTTTGACAAATTTTAGCTATACCTTTTCAAGAGAAAAAAACACCAAACATGACTTATAACTGAAACCATGAGATATTAAAAGGCTTCTGATTACTAAAAAGATAACTACAGGAGGATCTGGCAATTTCTCTCCACTTACTGACAAGAGCATCCTGTAAGAGAGATATAGGAAAATGAAACCATTCATGCACCGAGCCACACTACTTGCAACAGCCAATGTAAGCTATAGCACACTACTGAGATAGAGGTGGGGCATGTCTGTCTGATGAAGTAAAAAAAAGTTGTCTTAAAGCTTTGGAGAAAATTATGAATATTCATTACAGAAATTGCTGATATGTAATTATTGTGTTCAGGCCAAAGGAACCATGAAGCCAGAGAAGAAGATACTGCAGAGTGGCTTATGATTAGGCCTTGCTTCAGCAACATACACATTTGAAAGGGTTTATTCCAACAGAAGAATGATTAATTGAATAGGAATTTACTTAGCAGTTATGCTTTCTTGAACTGTGGCCCTGCTGGCTGTAGCTCTAGCATTTCCACAGAAGTCCAAAGTGATCAAGCCTGCTGCAGCATGACATCACAACTGCATCACGGAACATGTGACATCTGTGGTGTCCCAGTTCCTTGCACAGCCACCACTTGCCTTGGTGGCATCTGTCCATGTTAAAACAATCTCTGAACATCTCTGGTTTTCCCTCACCCTTCTCTTTCCCTTACCACCTCCCTTCCTCTTCCTCTTTTATTAATTTTTTTTTTATTATTATATGCAACTAAATCACTTTAGATGCTTTGTCATATCTTCTTTCATTTGCTAAGTGGCAACTTTCCCCCTTGCATGTAGGTGTCAAGTTATCAAAAAAATGTAGTAATATATCTAATTGAAGAAATCATCACTTAGGAAAAATCTTAATAAAAAGTATTCCATATTTCAAATTACGGAAAAACCGAGATAAGGAAACTGTTACTGAAGAAATGAAATAATCCTCCTAAATTGTTGCAACATACTTATTTCTGTTTAATGCATTATTCATAAAAATGACAAAACCAGTACTTATGTTTCAATATATGCCAATTTATAATGACACATATAATCTCTGCTTAACAATTGGTCGCTTTTTATGTTCCTTGAAGCATTTTATTTTCTTTGTTCTCAAATTGATAACTTTTACCCTCACTAAAGATTTTGATGAGAATTAGAATTATACCAAAACCAGGGATTCAGATATCCACAGATAGAGCTGTAATACACTGTCATTGATGTGGTGTTGACAACATTGTAGTTTAGAAGGCAGAAAGAATTAAAGCTTGGAAGGTCATAAAATCATATGTGAAGTACTTATGCCAAATCATGAGCCACAATGTAATCACGTGAATTTTTATGCAGCATATGAGAAAAGAGCTCTACTGTGCTGCAACTTTTCTAGGTGACCTGGGGTTGACACAGGGATTTGCACTTGAGTCAAAACTCACAGAGATTATTTTAATATTTTAATTTTAAACCAAGTGAATTTTAGAAATATACAAATATCAAGTTTGTTTTAAATAAAATAAAGTGTAACTAAACTGAATCTTCTGGGTGAAAATTAGTGGTGAAATTGAGTTTTTCCCTAGCTGCTATAGGACATCCTCTGTGATCTCCTTTCAAAATTAAACATTTTTCACTGCATGTGTTTTCTGCTTCCTAGGGTCACTATTTCAGTAGACCAATAGTCTTGTTCTGTAGAAAGTAGGAGGCTGTGAACCAGCTCGCCATTCTGGGTATGCTCCTCAGGCATTGACTGACACTGCACAGTTGTCATTCTAAAATTGTCTCTCAGTCTGGCAAGAGAAACCTCTGGTTTCTCAAAAAGCAGGGAAGCTGAAAGTCAGTTCTGGTTCTGCCAAGGAAATACCTTGGAGAGACCAGGTTTTTGCTAAGCAACCTTCCTTTTGCTTGCCTACCTCGTGCCAGCCAATCTCCCTCCTGGCAGAAATCACCCAGAAGACAGAGTGAGCTGTGAGCCACCAGAAAATTCTGCAAGTCTGCTTTTTCCTAAGCAGCAATTTCTTTCTGGCCTCACTTGCAAAGAAATGGTGTCATGTCAAAGTGGTGTCATGCCAAGCTTCAAGGCGCCACTGAAATAGCTGTCGAGGAATGAGGTCAGGGCCCCTTCATCACCTGAAACTTTGCCTGCTATGACTTGGAATACAAATTCTTAGCTTGGTGGTATAAAGGAAAAAGATGAACAGCCATGGGAGCTGAGTTTTCAAGCACAGAACTGCTAGCTATTTTTGTAATTAAAAAGTATGCATTTATTGCTAAGTGGTGCCCAGCGCCATCAACTATAAGCTCATATGGAAGCAGTACAAGTCTGAATAGGATCTCACCTTAGTGCTAATCTGTTTTGGGTCTTGAAGGAATTGGGAACAGCACACTGTGGACAAGGATGATAATGCTTCTGGGAGAGTTGCAGGCTATTACCTGGTTTTTACAGAAGGGAAAGGCAGTGCAGATTTTGAACTGGAGAGAAAGCAATCTACCACTTGAGAAAAAACACAGGACTGTGGCATTATTTACCTCCATCAAAAACATCCGTTGCACTACTAGGCATAAGGTTTCAGTGGGACTCGTGCAGAGCCATCTAACGCAATTTGCCAAACTTCTTTCAAGTTTCCATCTTACGTAAGATTCTATGCACTGTACAAATAGACACGGGAAGCTCCTTTTGTTCTCCTGATTTTTTTTGGTAAACCTAAGGACACTGCAGTTACATCCTTTATGCTACGGAAGAGATTTAAGAGCTGAAAACAGCATTATCCAAGCTAGAGTTAATAGCATTACAATGTCCTGATTTATGCCCTGCACATCAGAGAACATAAAGGAAATGAGGGTTGTAGAAGCTCAGTTCTGAATCAGTGGAAGAAAAAGGAGCTGACAGGAATCCCTGGCCTCTCTGCTCTGGCAAACGCCAGACCTGACATAACAGTAATTTCACCTCACTTTTTCTTTTATGCTGTCTTCTAACTCTAAATATGGTTTCCAAACTCTAGCAGAAGTTCACAAATCTGCTTCCATCCTTCACTTAAAACCCAGTTCTAGTTAAACAGCTTTAAAAACCTGATTCATTTGGCAAGTTTGATGGATACTGGGTTAGATGTACTGTGAGGTCTGAATGTTCAGCAACACAAAGCCACTCTATACATTATTAACCTAGTCAGGTAGTTGGGTAGTCAGATTTATTTTTTATATTGCTCAGTGAATTTTAGTCACATAACAGAAAAGATAATTTATTTTCTATTCATATGAAAGCATCAGTATGAATTGCATTCTTTTGCCACTTTAAGCATCCAAAGAAGAGAAATTCATGCATTACTTTACTCCTCCTTACAGAGCCTGTACATTTTACTTTGGCTAAGCATTAATCCATTGCTCTATCCATCACTGAGTTCTCTGATCTCTCAATTTCTGCTTTTGTGTTTTTGGTTAGTTTGGTTTTTTTTGTTTTAAGATTTTGGATGTATTTTAAAGCATAAGAAACAAAGCACAGGAGCATTGCCACACAGGAAGACGAAAAAAAAATGGAATAACAACTGCTAAGAAACTGTTGCAGTTCAGGGAATTAAGTGGCTAGTGCCAGGAAAACAGCTCACAGAGAGCCTCTAGCATTTTTCAAAGGACATTTAAGTCTCCTGTTTCTTATTCTTAAAATGGCTGGCCCTGGATAAAACCATGTATCTTTATTTCAGTGAGAGTTTTTTTAATTATTTGCCCGAATTATATTAATGAACAAATAAATAAATAAATATAAAGGATTCCACGGAGGCTCCCTGCCAAATGTCTTTTGTGATAAGCTTGCCTTTTAATGGAAGAACGCTGGACACAATGTTCTCCAAATAAGCCATTAAAACTGCTTCACTTGTCCTCCAGACTGAGTTTCTGAAGAATGGCAATGACATTACATCCATTTTGGAGAGAAGAGGTGAAAGAAAAGAGAGGAAAATGCAAAGTGCAAATCTGTCCCCTTTCTGGCCTGGACCTCATAGGTATTACTATTTTTCCTAGTTGTGAGAAATAAAAGCTAGTATTGAATAATTGCACATACCTTATTTGTGGCATCAATAAATTTGACTCCTTTGTAAGAAACAGACAGGACAATGGTTGGTACTTTTTTCATTTGTTCTGTAGACTTCTGAAATCAAAATGAAGATGTTATTAGACTTGTGTTGCATTGCAAGAACAGTGCTCTTTTCTTCTGATAAAATACCTAAGTTAACCAAATATTTTACTATTTCTTCAGCTGACTATGCTCTGGGCATTTGAAATATCTGCCTTGCAGTTACAAAACTAATAAAAGTTCTCCTTTTTCCTAACACAATGAGAAGAGAATAAAGTAACTTTGCCAGGCTTAGAAAGACCAGTCATGCAACCAGCATTTCTCAAAATGTGTGTGGTTAAGACATCTACCTGACATGCCCCATCCATCGCTCCCTCCCCTCCTCCTGCCCTTCCCAGCTGTAAAAACCAACAGCGCAGTACCTCTCATAGTACCATTTCTTTCCTGTAATTAGCTGTTATTTAGAAATATTTCACTCTATTGCCTTCTTGTAGTTGTATTTGTGACATGAACTACCCCTGAAACCCTCTAGGCCTGCCAATCAATCTGTCAGCCCAATGTTGTATCTTGTCACGTCTGACCGTCTGTACTTTGAGTGCAGCTGCTACTGGAAGCTGCTTTACACATGAATTAGCATGGAGGGTTATTCTGCATTCCCTCAGTGCCAGGTTCTCCTACCTACAGTTCATACCTTCCTATAAGATTGTTTTTTCTTTTATGCTAGTCTACTTCTGTGTGCCTTCAATATGACACACATAGCAAAGACATTTCCTGCTGAACAGATTGGGCAAATATCTGCATCAGATTTAAGTTCTCTGAAGAAAAAAATGTTGTTTACAAATTAAATTTACTAAAACAACCCCAAAACCAACCAAAGAAAAAACTAAATATGGCATAATAGTCTATAGCTGATTTGAATTCTTTTAAGGTTGAAGACAACGATGGACTATTCTATACAGAACTATTGTAGATAAATAAATTAGATAACATTCAGAGAATGCTTATTCATGGGAGCATCTGCAAACAATCACAGAGATCAATCAAATATTTTCTTGAGAGGAAAGAGTAAGTTCAGTTACAGGTAAACATGAAGAAGCACCAGCACACAGACGGAAAGTGTAAACATGCTGAAAGATCTAGAATTGGCACCTAGGAAGATCATTAGAGCTGCTAAACAAAAGTAGCAGTAGTGGTTTTATATCATCCAAGACAAATAAACAAGTATAGTTATAAGCTTGAAAACACAGACTGTAACTGAAGAAAATATGTTTTAAAAAAATAGGTGATGCTAACACTAGAGAGCAAAACAAAAGCTTCAAACAAACAAAAAAAACCCCAACAAAACCAACCAAAATCCTGTAATCAAGTCTCCTTATCAGCTCTCAATCCTTACAGAATCAAATGAGACTCCATTTTTGCCAGCATAAAATTCAAAGCTACAGATCCAGCTACATTCTGCAATTAGTGTCCATTCCACAAAGACTAAAACCTCTAATTAAGGTTTCAAGGAGAGCGCTGCCCATCCGTGTAATAGAGAGGATTGTTGCATCTCTCCATATCAAATGACGAGAGACTTGAGACAACAATCAAGTGTCAGTTTATCCCAGAGAAAGCTCCTTTCACCCAGAATTCTAGGCACTTCTAAAAAATGACAGCTTAAATGGTAAAACAACCTGAGGAATTTTAACAAAATCTGAAGGAAGACATTAATCTGATTTGCATGTCTCTGAACTGAGCGGAGAAAGAAATGGTATCCCTGCCAAAAGCAGAGCAAGTACCTACCTGTGCTTATGTGTGTGTGTCACTGTAATAGATCTCAAATAAACCTTACCATAAAATTCACCTTCAATGCACAGAAAGCATGAGGGTGCCTGTACAGAAGCTGCAGTGTATACATCTATCAGAATAACAAGCAATAAACCCCGCACATGCTTATACTAGACAAAACAGTCACAAATATGACAATATCACTTTAATCATCTGGCAACGCACCAATCATCCAACTTTTGTCCTTTTGTTCTAGTCTGACAGCTACATGTAAGAGCTTTTTGTCTCCCATTCTGATTATTGTAATTACGTCCTTCCTTGCCTCCTTAGCAGCAAAATTCCCCTTCTCCATCAACGTGCTGTACAAACATGGCTACTAAGTTCACATATTTTAGCTTTTTGGTCTAATTCTCCCTGTTTGGCATTTGTCATAAAGGTGAAGCCTCCTGTTGGCAAGGCCATGCTGTACCAAATATCTGAGTGTCCTCTTTCCTCTAGACAGTAGTTTGTAATTTAATCATCTTCCTTATCTGCTCCACATCCACCTGGATTTGTCTAGACCAGACCTGACCTCTAGTATTTAATTGAGGTTGTGAACTGCCAGAAGACTGTATCTCAGTGAAACAGCTCATCAAGAGCTATTCAATTACAGTTGGCAAATTAGGAAATGAATCAGACTGACGGACATTCGTAATTTATTAGGCCAAACTGTCTCAGCTGGTAAGGAGCAGGGGATATTCCTCATCAGCTTGTAAAGCATAAAACCCCCAGGACTTGTGTAAAGGTGTTCTGTTAAGACTGGAGTCCAGTGTAGAATTAGGATTTTGGGAAACAACTCTGCACTGGTACTCCCATTGCAACAAAGAGTTGGGCAGTGGAATAACATACTTTGTTATTATGACAGTGCCATCAAGAAAAACACACAGCTCTATTCCCCTGCTCAACTCTCAGTGATACAGTAACTGAAGTCCACCACATAATTATTATTTCCAAGCAGTTTCCAGGCTTCAACAGTTTCGAGTTGTCATGCTGAGCTCATACTATTTGCTTCCTGTTCTTTTCTTTTTAATGGAGCAGGTGTCTGCCAGAATGTGTAACGTTAGTTTTCAGAGATACAATATGAATACCATTCACTCAGGCACTGTAACTGCTTTGGCTCTGAATTCTAGAATGAAGTCCTACAGCTTTCTTGGTCAGACATTTCACATCTCTGTGAAGGCCAAGTGGGCATCTCTGCCTGTGCCTGTGCCCAGAATCTGAGAAGGTGGGACACAGGAGTCAGTATTCTCTTTCCTTGGGCTTTTCAGGTTCTAGCCACCGTATCAACTCCACAAGGACACAATGAGATGACAAAATATTCTTGTCCATCTGGTGTCTCTATGGGAAGCAGATGGACTTGAGCCAAAGTTATAGGAGTCACAGCTGAGGGCTGGCATTGCATGTCATGTGCATGCTGACATATGGTCTAATGCTCCAAGGTGTGTTCATACCAGAGAAGTAGGATTATATTTCATCTCATATAGAAGCAATCATAGTGACTGTCTTTGGGCAAGTGCTCACTAGCCTGGAACTGGTCATAGTTCCTATGAACTCCATTGTTTGTGACTGCAACTTTGGCTCTTTGTTTCAATACACTTCTTCAGGGGAATCACCTGGATGAACAGCAAGCCTATTCTAGGCTCCTTGCCAGTGCCTGTCACTGATCAGCTGGTCATCTACCTACGGACAGATGTGCATGCCCTGTCTCCACAGGTGCACTGTTCCTGCAGCCAGAAGTCTCAATGCTGCACGGTCTGCAATGCCAGAGAGACTGAGCTTTGGTCCCACCTCTGAAATACTTCATGCTGGACAGGTAGGTGACTATGTGAAAGCAGGTCATGTATAATTCAAGAACCATAAAGCAGTCTTGTCTGCAGACAGAGGAAGACAGAAGAAAGCATCACCATCCTAAATCTAATGTGATATATGTGCAGCTTCCCCAGACCTCCCCCAAAAGACATAGAGCCTCTTCCTCTTTAGAATACAGAATATCAGGAATAGTGGTCTCATCTGTATTTTGGTGCAGCTGCTGCAATGAAGCTGCTTCATCCCCTCAGCACCTACAGTGGAGATGAGTCCAGTGGAAGGAGGTGGAAGGCACCATCTCCATAACTGCCTGGTTAGTACAGTGATTGCTTGTACAAAAAAGATCTGAATTTATGACTCAGAGTTTGCATCTGAACGCTCTGCAGCCATTATATAGGACAGTGCCAAAAGCCTGCATAGGCTTGGACAGGGCTGCTCCCAATTCCTCCTTTTGAATGGGTCATAAGGGGATGCAAGAGCAGTGGTGCCAGAGAGGAAGCGAGTCAATGCAAGTTTGCTTTTCATAATTTATGAATTTTCTTTAGTTTCACTGAAAAAAATACCATTCTCACATCCAGCCTCTAAACACATTTCCATAAGTATAGTAGTACTACAAATTGTCTTAAGTGGGTAAAGCATTTCCACCTGTATATTGATTTTGCATTAAAGGCTGTGCAGAACTGCTAGACATTTATTTTGAATATAAACTAATCCAAATAATTTGAGATCCACCCTGCCAGTGTGCCTAACAAATCAAGGTAATTAGCAATGGCTTAAGAGGCAGAGGAATGCATTCTTTGAATAAAGTAACATAAACTAGCAGTTTATTTTTAAAAAGCAAATACAAAACCTCTAACTCTGAAAGGCTTTTAACCTTTTCAGGACAGGATTGTACTACAATACCTTGTTCTGTGCAGAACTGAGAGTACTCAGAATATTCCTGCAGTGTACAAAACATGGTACCTCTGAGCACACACACACAAAGCAGTTGAATAAGAAATTCAGACACACACTCAGAATGGTGTCCATGTAAGATGCTCACACATTCACTTGATAAAGCATAGCATATGCTGTAATCCAGCTCATTCTGAAAACGCTTTCATCTCAATTATTTATTACCTGCCAAGAAGAAATGGAATACATTGGTACTTCTACTTTGCCATGTTGACCACTTCAATGTACTTATACACACATTTATAACTGGATTATTCAGATTTCATACAGCAGCTAAAATGAAATCATGTTCTTTTTTAGGTTTTACTGTGTATGTAATTATACTTGATCTTGCAAATAAACAGTAAAAAAACATTACTCAACTATGACAAGTCACTAACAATCCCATACATAAGTAAATTTTGAGTACAAGTTTATGAGCCTGTAAAATCTTAAATTTTCATCTTGGCTTTCTACTTTTGCAAATGAATCTGCTAGTTCAGTCCTACACTGGTTTTTAATAGCTATATGAACATTGTAGCTGGCAATTTTCCTATTCAATTATGCACTGGAAACCAATTCACTGAAAGATTCTGAACTTTTTCCTAAACCGGTAGCAACTATTAAGTCCAAATGGCATCAGACTGCACATTTCAAAATATATATTAGTGCCACCTACTATCATACCTGCATAAATGTCTGCTACTTATTTAAGGCTTATGAAGCCCAAAAACTGTCACAATATTCAAGGTGAGGCCGCACCAGTGCAGAGCACAGCGAGACAATCACCTCCTTCAACTAGCTGTGGAAGAGGAACTTTAATGAATTCCTTTGACAAGATCATGCATGAGATGAAATGGAAATAAAAAGTCAAAGTCCACAACTGAACAGTTAGTTTTGAAACCAATTTTGAAACTAAAGTCTGCCTTGTAACAAATATTTAGTAACTTCTCTCAGTCCAAAAGGCTTAAAAATGCATTACTGACATAATTTAACACCTCTTGGAATAAGACTGCATCTGTAATCCTTGTGGTACAAGACTGTTTACCTCTCTACAATTAGTGGATGCCTCCAAGCTACATCATTAATATGAACATTGCACTGGGGGTGCACCTGCAACTCATGTACTTGAGAGTGAGATGGTTTTTTGCTTTTGCAGTATCTCTAAACACTCCTCTGCATCCCTCCTACACCTTAGATTCCTTTCAGCCACAGAGTTCAAGGACATAAAATCCTCTGAAGAACATGGTGCAGTATGATGTAGATGTGCATAGGGACTGAAGACCTTCCACCACTTATTTTTTCCTTTTGATTAATATCCATGTGCCTTTTCCACTGCAGGTCCTCCCAAAGCAGTAGTCACACAAGAGAGAGAGAGAGCTACAAGTCCCAAGAGACCAGAGACTGAAGAACCTGAATCGTCAAATACAGTGTTTGATCCCAACATTTATTTGCCTGGTTAGTTTCACTAGGAGGCCTATGGAGGCTTCTACACTTCTATTTTGGGGGCGAGGGAATGAAATGGAGATCAAAAAGTAGAAAGGGTTTGGTAGAAACAAGGAGACTGCCATCTAAATTCACGTCCTTCTTTATGTAAGAAGAAATGAAATGAGGAAGAAATGCCCCAGATGCTGCCTATTTTCAGCGAGTCAACTCTGCTTCGTCTTCCTCTCCCAGAGAAAAAGAGAAGCAGATTTTGTAACAATTTCAACTTTGACATTTTGGTCTTAAGTCAGCGAGACATTTAAATACCTGCTTTGTGAACAGAACTATATTGCTCGTTCCTCAGAACTTTGACTTGAATTTTAGAACCTCTTTTCTAACAACAAAATAAATAAGAAAGATACATAATACTCAGGAAGGTGGCAGGATCCAAGAACAAAATCTAAGTTCCCTTCTGCTGCAGTAAATATCTGATAGGTTCAGAGTGTGCAGTCGGTGTATGCAACATCAGTGATTTAACACTGCTGCAAGGAAAGAGTCATCCTTGGTGCTGTGCTCATGCCAGTAAGTATAAAACCATCCCCTTCCTACCTGGTCAAGGAATTCAGATGTGTAAATGCCAGATGGAGTCTTCTGTAGAGAACAAGTTCCTTCCTAGCTCAAATTTAACTTTATTCCTTGTCTTTATTTTGATGCAAACACATTGTATTCTCCCTTCATTTTCCTATGACGATTTAAAGTGAAGGCATCAATCTGATTGAAAATGCAACTTGCAGTATTTCCTATTCCACACTGGGAAAGATGAAAGCTCTTAACTTCTTGAAGGCATCTCTCAAATATAATTAATAAACCTACTCTGGCCAGGACAGCAAGATTTAATCTCCAAGTAGCAAAGGTCAGTTTAGAGCAGGTGAAGAATGGAGATAAGGAGACAGGACTGTCAACTGCAAAGGCAGTTTGTGAGAAAAAATAGCTGGATAAAATATAAAGGAGTGCAAATATACGAATGGAAAAACACTGTTTATGCCAAATATCCATAATTTTGAATGGTTACAAGAATCTGCAATTTTGGGTGGGGAAAAAAACCCAAACATGTATAACCTTGACCCTAATGTTGAGCTCAAGTTATTGCATCTGCATGATTTTCCCCAAACAAATCCATCATCTGCCCTGCTGGAGCACGTTGCTCCACAATGCCCAGAAGCACAGTGGATTGCCAAGAAGAGTTATTAAAACAAAGGTTCCCAGGTTTTGTTTTTGTTTTTTACTATTATTGGTGGTTTTTTACATTATAGAAGATTTAGGATCTCCCTTCACTCTTGAGCTATAAGAGAAGGAGGCCACTGTAAGCCTCTCTGTGGAGAGAGAGAAGGGATAACTGCATGACACTTCCCTTGAGAACCAAAACCATCAATTGCAATAACTGAAAGCCCTGGGAGCATCTACAACTAACAGTGAGGGATCTGCAGTCAGAAAACACGTAATTTTTGTTGTTTCTCTGTATTTATGAATGATTAAGGAAGATCAAGATTTTTTTTTTTTCACTGATATACTTCTTTCACTCTTGTGCATCTGCTGACTGGAAGACATTCAGTGAATATCAACACTTTTTTGAGCAGCATTAGGTTAAAGATGGAGAATCTAAAGCCACACTGACAGAAAAATTAGGTACCTAATTTTCATACATTCTCCATAAAACCATTATGTGGCTGAGTCCAGAAAGACTAAAAAATTGCAGGGAGTGACCTCAACATGGTACAAGGTTACGAGTGACATATTCCCCTCCCCCAAGACGTTTCAGATTGCAGCATGCTACAGATTTGAAATATGGACATGGAAATACAAATAAAATACTAAAATTAAAAAATATTGCTCTATCACAAAAGTACAACCCTATGTAAAAATCTTACTGACTTTAGAGACACTGGACAAGTGTACAGAATTCAGTACCTCAGAGCCAGCAAATAATATATCTAGCTTTTAAGTTCTTTTTTTTTAAGTGAAATGTCCCTTTCAATACATTTAAAGTAAAATGTAACTACATCAGAAGCCGCATTTTCGATGACAACCCAGTAGTACTTAAATACAATAATGATCATCACAGCAAAATGCAACATTTCAGGATGACTTTGGACAACCTGGACTCCAAATTCACAGACACCAACTTTCAGAGCACAATCATAGGGAAAAAGTTTTGGAAAAAGATCCATTTTTCTCACTGGGAAATAGGCTAAAATAATAATCTGTTCCCATTAAGTCAAAGTTTTTTGCTTTTGGCTTGAATAGGAACATGATTAAAAGGACTACATAGAAAAAATAGATGAAATCTTGATTAAAAACTGTATTATTCAAATATCTTTGCAATAAAAAAACTCAGACTAGAAAATAAACATTCTCACAGCACAATGATTTCAAAAGAGAATATAAAAAATAAATGTACATAAACCCCATCACTGTGCTATATAAGTGCCCTGTACAGCACTATAGACGACTAGTGCAACTCCACTATTTTTATAGAAAATTTGTATTTTAAATTAAATTTGCTTTCAAACACTTAGTTCTTTCAGTTATATAATTTAAATTGGTCAAACTTATTACTCAAAAAAATATATCTTAAAAGACCTATAAATTATTTAGAGTGCCTTTTTTGATGTTAAGCTTCCTAGTTCAGTCAGAAAACTTACTGAAGTTGTCACATGCTACTATGGTGTCAAATTCTGCTCTAAGATCTGTGCAGGCATATGCCTAAAAAATAGAACTGCTAAGCCTGACAGTTTGAAAACTGAATTGGAAGATGGTAGGCTTGCAGCCTCAATTAATTCCCCAGAACAAGTATATTTCATTGTAGATCCCCCTGTGTCAAGTTGTTGTGGGTTTTTTTTTTAGAGAAGTTTAAGTCCAGGTACGGAATGATTAGCATGTAATTATCTGAAAAGCCTCAGGTCTTTAGGCAATCTAGTAAGCATGAATTACTGCAAGCCCTTAGCTAAAACAGCTTGTATAAAAGTCTGTGTGCTGCAGATATGTAACCAGTAGGAAATGGTTGTCCGATTGCATGAATTTTACACATCTTCCAGCTTTCTAACTGATCTGAATGCCACGTCTCATGCTCAGAGGCATCTTGCATACAAAACTTACGATACACAGAAGAAAAAAATTAGCTCATTCATCTGTGTAATTGTACACATTTGGTAGATTAGCAAACAATTACATTCTTCATTAATTAATCATGCCAGATCATGATATGTTCACCATGGCTATGAACCAGTTCATTCTTATTACAACTACAGCTGGGAATAAATCAGGCCGTGGTTTGTTTTGAGTTTCCAGCAGTGGTATGTTTCTTGGAGATAGACCGAGCCTTGTTGCAATTTTCTACAAACCAGTATCAGGACAAAGAGCCATGGGAAAACATATTCTTAACAGTCTGAAGGAAACCTAACTGCTTTTCCACCATCAGGTGAGACTGACTTAGATCCCATTTTACCCTTCAATCAAAAAGCATGTAAGTAACTCCATATTTAATGGAAACACTCATGTGACTAAAAGCATCCATAGGATTATGTGACTGTTGGATTTACCATGCATAAAAAAAAGCTTTGATAACATGTTAATATATTTATTAGTACATATATTCACATAGAAAATTAAATTTAGATTATCATATAAAAGCTATAAATTCTGTTTATAAAATCAATTTGGTATGGGCACGTTTAAAGTATGTGGACAGTACTTTGAAACATACCGAAAGATTCACGAGAAAAAAAAATGCATACATTTGGGGTTTTTTGTTAGATACCACATGCAAAAGAAAAATCTACCTTTAAATTTTCATAGTACTTGAAATTAAGATGTAATGCAGAACAGATTTCCTATTGAATACCACTGTAAATGCAAGGAAAAGAAATGGGTAACAGTACATTATAAAAGTAAAAAGGGCACAGTACAACCAACCACAGATTGATGTTATTTAATACTATTATGATAGAGAAAGAAGTAGGTTTACAAACTTACCCTCATCTTTGCACATGCATCCTGTGTTGACTCTGTGCCTCTTAACTCTTTTACCAGCATAGAACCTAAATACTAAAACAAAAATCCATTGAACTTACTTTAACTCAAATTCCAGAACAGACAAACATCTGCAGAAATGCACTAAAAATGCTTTAAAAAGCCTACTTGTAGCAGTCAACTTAATATATTATTTTAGAGTTTTTTTACTCTGCAGTTCTTTGATAAATTATTTAAACCAATGCATTAATCAACCTACCAAACAAGAATGCACAGCAACAAGTGTATTGAATCAGCTTGTGTCTTTTGAAACAATATCTGAAAGTCTCCTAGTTTTAGTCACTCAAACAATGAGGAAATACTACAGAATCCATCTTAAAAAAAGTCATTTGAATAAAAAACGGAGAATCTGCTTTTTTTAGCTGCCATCTGCTGATCTCCTATTGTTATGTCTGCAATCACGTGGATGTGAAGGGCAGCAGCAATCTTAACCTCACCGTACTCAATCTGTAACTAATTTACGCGCAAATAGCAGAGCCCAACGTCAGCAAACAGAGAAAATAAATCTATACTAAGACTAGCTTAGACCATTATTTCTTCCTAAGGAAAGGCTGACCCTGAACTATTATTTTAAAGCCTTTACTGATCTGGAGGAGGGCTGGGTGAGAGGAAGCAGAAGGGTGCTGTGTCCTGGCTCAGCTCACTGAAAGCCTCCATGCCCTCAGAGGAGCCTGCTCCTCTCCAAGGGCAGTGAGTGCCTCACCAAAACAGGCCCCTTCCTACAGGTCTTTCCCTCACTTTGTCACTTGCTGGCACATGCAGCTTGAGCCCTCCTGCACCCTGGCAGCAGGCTCTGCTTCTCTGGATTTGTTTGTCTGGGGTCTCAGTACTCCTCTATGCCACGTTTGGATGGTGCAAATGGGATGTTTCTGTATTTCTGTATGATGTCACATACAAGTCGGGCTTAACTGAGGAGAGAGGACAGCAAGTCACCCCTCACCTGCTCCTCCCCAGGCACAGAGATGTCTCTCTCTGTATCCTCACTGCAGCACAAGGCCATGGCTTCTCCCAGGTCTCCAATCCTAAGTGAGGCAACACAGGAGCTGAAGAGAAGCCACTGTGGGCAGGAGCCTTTTCCCAGAGGATGCTGCAGACCATCACCACTGCCTGACCTTTTTCATTCTACCACACTGACTCCCCTTGGAAACAGCCTAAACTGACCCAATCAGTTCGTGAACCAGCTTCAGCTTAGACAAGAACCTATCAAAAAGAACTTCAGTTACAGCCGAACGCAAGCTGGATCTGAACAGAGAATGTACTGGTTCAATTCTCCGGTCTCCTGACCTAAACTGAGATATTTTCTTTAAAGCCTTCACTTCACACTGTGTACTGCAGGAGTCTCTGACCTGCAAGAAAATGCATAAATATTTCAATGTAGACAGTAGCCAACATGTCAATTAGTGAGAAACACTTTATAGGGCATTATAGATGGAACAGTGAGCAACACCAACACTACCAGACAAGCACATACAGAAAGGAATGAATGAAGGGCATTCTTGGAGGACTGCACATGTAAAAGATTCATAAACCCAGCAGCTGTGAGTCCAGCTGGGGGCTCGATGGTGACGTGAATAGGGCTTTGGGCATTAATTTGGTGGGACAGCTTGACATCGCCCTTGAAGAAAAACAATAAATGTAAAGCAAACTCGAAAATTAGAAAATTAAAAGTGTATTGAGTTGAACTGTATTCTTTTCTGGATCCTGCTGTCTGACACTTTTGGCATCCTGTGCAGGTTGCAAGTAATTTCTTCAATTTTTTTAATTTTCTTATTTTTTTATGGACTACAATACAACAAATTATTTTTTCCTTGAAAGATACCAGTTTGTCAGGTACCAGGGTAAAAAAATTAGTGCTTTGAGCTCACAACAGAACAAGAGGAAGAAAGAGAAGAGATGGGTAGCTCCCGTCCCATCTGCACAGCAGCAAAAAGTCTCAGCTGAAGGCATTCAGAAATGCTTCCCAGGGAGGACTGTGGAATAGACAAACAAATCAGAGGTACCGTCCAATTTAGTTCTCAGAAAAATCTGAAACTCTAGGAGGGAATTTTGCTTCCCTTTGACTTGCTGTGCTTTTGGAAATGTTCCTTTTTAAATACTGAGAGCACACGGGAGCAATGCAGAGAACATCCAACAGTTTAACTGAGTGATGTGGCATACAGTGAAAGCTGCACCCATTATAACTTACAAGCCGGGGTTTTACTCTGTAAGGCTCAGGTCAATACAGCTCAGCGAGCTGAAACAAAGCAGTGACACATGGTCCTTTGGAAAGGAAGGTGTTTCCTTAATCACCAGTAACTTAGATATTCATGGTCATTTCAACTTCATTTCTTTAATGATCCATATGCCTTCCAATCTATTACAAGGTGACATGCTGGATCATGCAATAAGATTCAAGGCACTCATTCTCACTTTATTGAAAACTAGGAAAAATATTTAAAGAACTAGAAGCTTCCTTTTCAATTTGAGGTGAGCAAGGAGGTTTTGAATAGTAGGTGAGCTGGTCTTTGACCTTGACTTGCTGAGTAAGGCAGAGGTTCTAGTTACTGTCCAAGGACAGTCACTGCATTCACGGCAATTTCTACCCAATGAAGGTCTGATGGAAGATACAGATGTACTCCAGTGAAACAGGCCTGTAACACCCCTTCTGCCCTTGCTCAGTGAGAGCCAGGCTCTGTCTCACTTGTGTTTAGTCTCTAATTCCTGCCTTTCCAGATATGCTTTAAAAGAGGTGCAGCAGCCTCCAACTCTCCTCCAAAATACAGCTGTATTTGATAAACAGAGCATTATCCTAAAAGTACTAGAGATCTTAACCCCTTCAGGTGAAGAGGATCTCAACACCATGTCCTGGACCAGGGGTTAACCCTTAGCTATTACGTTAAAGGCACTGCAACTACTGAGCCCCTTTCCTTTGTACAGTAAGTCAGCCTTACTTCATTAGGGCCACCTCCAAAGAGAACGCACAGTGGTCTGGCAAGCCCCTTCAGCAACTTTAACAATGCTTTTCAGCGAAGTTGGAGCAGGAAATGTTAGCATTTAAAGAGGTGAGCTGAGGCACCTCTTCAGATCCCCAGAAGCTCCAGTCCTCCTGCCCAGGGAACTCAAGATTTCAGTTTTTAACTAAAAAAAAAAAAAAATACTTTCTGTGCTGCAGGAGGCCTTTCTCTCCTCTGCATTTATAATAGACATAAAACACTAATTGTCTTTAGCTGCAGAAGGAAGCTCTGTTTCACCAGGGATGGGAAGTGGTAATCAGCTGCAGCTAGAGGGGGGTAAAAATAAACATGCCCTGCCCTGATGGAACTGACTGCTACTGATACTTCAAGCAGCCAACAGTATGGCAGAGGTCTGAATGTGTTCTTGTCCCAGAGATGGAAAACACTGCTTCAGGATCCTGATCTTCATCTTCCCTATCTCCCTTCCCCAAAACCAAATCTATAAAATTCAGGCAAGGCAACACTTAATTAACTACTCAGAACACAGCATTGAGGTAGGCGTGAGGATCCCATATCACGCTTTATTATTCTTCCATAACTACTAGACAGGGATTTGTGACAGATGAGAAGTAGGGGTGTTTGCTCTCACTGTCACTTCTACACTTCGCCACTTACTCATAGTGTCCATTCTCTAACATTATTGCTACATGGACTGCAATATATCACAAAATTCATAGCAAAAAGTACTGTGCATCCTTGTTTCTCATTTATTACAATTAAGAGTTTTTCAGAAAAAGTGGCCTGTCTCGCTAAAAGTGACTGAAAAAATATTATAAATGGAAGTAAAACACAACAGCCTATCAAAATCCAAGATTAACATATCTACCCCAAATCAAACCACTAAAATTTATCAACACTTACAAATGCTTTATAATCACATGACTGGAAGATGAGTTTCTCTGGATGATGTTGCCAATATTGTACAGGCGTTGATGCTGTGGCTTCATTTGGAGGTCGCAAGGTAATTGAAGGCTCTCCCCAGTCTCCTGTCTGAAAATCACAGTTGTTCAAGATATTAGAGTATGTGCAGGCAAATTAGCTACAAAATAGACCTCCACTGTTGTGCTCAATTAACAAGAATTTATTTTCTACGCACAGAGCCATGTTACTAAAATAAGGGAACACAACTCCTACAATATTTTTCATGATTTAATTTATAATCCGAAATCATCTACTGTAGTGTTTAATGAGGCTTTAATTAAATCTATTTGCTTTGAGAATAAAATCATTAGGCACCGGAAATATTCCTTAAAAATAAGTGTTTACAATACATATATGAGGATGAGAGCACTTGAAAAAAATCATGATATGCACAAAAATGCCTTTCACAAATTCTGCTATGTGTTTTACAAGCTTTTTTGCACAGTTAATAAGTCTTCCATTATCCGGCACATATAACTGATAATTAACTTTCCTAGATGGCTAAATAACTGAGACTTTGCTTTGAAGACTTACTATACGTTCTTCAAAAATATGAGGCATCTTTAATCTCTTTATGAATATTTACTTTGATCACCACCTCTTGATGCCTCATTGTGGAGGTAGTAACATTGCCCTTCCACATTCATGATTCTCACTGATACAGGCGATTACCTTCCTGAGCTGTCATCTCCTCTCTTTCCTCAAAGCCCTCAGAGAACACAGGTAAGACTGCACTTTGCTGCCAAATCCCTTTGCAGCACACTCTTCTCCCTTCCAATAGAGCCAATGCAGGCGTCAGTGCAGGTATGTCCCCAGCCTGGTAGTGCTGGTCTGGGTCTCACCTGCCATTGTGTGTTTTTAGTCATGGCTTTATTGGACCTGGACTGACCTCCAGGTCCTTAGGGGCTCCTTCTACCTTGCAAGCCCATGCAAAAAATAATTATTATTGAGACTATTTAGCTTTTAACTGTGATCTCTCCTACTTTTCGTTCACATGTGCCCACATCCTCAACACCAGGGATGCTGCCAAAGTATCAGCTCACTTTAACTGAAAATGACTCGTGAATGGACTCCTTCTCCTCTTCCCAACCCCTCTTCCCTCTGCCACCAGTCCCACTTCTATCCTATTCTGTCTGAACTGCCTCTGAATTGCCCTCTTCTTCCCAGTTTGTCTTTTTGCAACCACATTTCTCCTTCCTGATTCTCCTTCTTCCCCTGCTCATTTTCTCTCAAACTATTTAATGCTTTCCTATATGATTATTTCAATTTGGGTTACACTACTACTTTCTTTACCTGCACTTATCTCTGCATATTTTCTATCCATGTCATATTGTTAAAATATGTGTTGAAGATGGCAAGGAATTGTCATCAGTATTTCACACAGAATATGGCTGGAAGCTCAGACTTTTATAGCAGAAAGAAGTTATGCATCAAAAACACACAAAAAAAATCTTATCGAAGACATTCAAAGTCTGGCAAACTATCACATCTTACTAATTAAATCAGGACAGAGTAAACAAAACAAGTACATCATTTTCATGTGTCACAAAATAACAAAATGACACGCATTTGCACAGCTCTGCAATGAAAAGCAATAGATAAATCTGGAAACATCAACATTACCCTGCCAATATGGTAACGTCAAGCAAGTCGAACCTAGTTACTGTTGACACCATTAGCACATCTACCAATTACACAGTAGTGTAATTTCTGTCTTGCCCAGTTAAGTTGCCTATATGCCATGGGTATGACTTCAGCCTTAGATTTTGAAAAGAAAGCAGCAGAAGCAATTGCTCCAATTTTTCGCATGTACAAAAACCTTCTATCATATTTAATCTGAAGTGGGAGGTTGATTTCTTTAAGAAGCAGTTCTCCTTATAAAATAAGGTTTCCATCATATTACAATGGGCAAGGATCTGCATCCTTGTTATTAGTGGAGTCTGTCTTTGACAACAAGAGAAGATGGATTGCACCCATCACAAATTCTCACAGCATGCTCAGCTGTCACTTATGAACTGTGCAAGGCCACAGCTAACAGACCACTTGAAATAGTCCTTTTTTTTTTTTCCCTAATAAAGATACACTCCTGCACGTTCTGTGTAAGGAACCAGAGCTTGGGAGGTCATCATGGCTAGGCTTCGTCAACGAAGATTTGGGAAAGGCTCTATCCACATTTGTTACAAGCACGCTGGTGGCTAATAAGGCCAATACGAGATAGACATGTCCGTTTGCAAAAGGCACAGCAGAAAGACTCCTTAGGTGGTATATTCTGCTTGGGAGGTAGATCCTATCCATTTAGCAAAAGGCTACTATGATGGAACACAGGTAAATTTAGGACAGAAAAGCTACAAAAGTACATCTTGTGACCACTGGTCTGTTCACTCAGGAAGCACGGGGATGGCTGTGCTATGTTCTACTGAACAAGTGACCGGGGGTAGTGCTCCAAACCCTCCCGTTGCACTGCTCAGCAGGTGGCTTCCCTACATATAGAAAAGGGATGGTATGGACAAATTAAGCAGGGTGTAAGTAAGGAATAAAATGAGTACATAATTCTACAGTTTGTCTCCCTTTTGCACAGATAGTATGAAAAGCATGGAGAAATGCATTTCTTCTGTCTGTAAATAAAAGGGTAGTAAAAGAGGAACAGTGATAACCTCTTGTTTTGGTTCAATTTTATAAAGGAAAAATAATCACGAGGAAATGAGAAATAATCTTCAACTAGGCTAATAAAACTACTGTATGAGACACTTGGAGAGGGACTGTGTGGAGACCACTTGTTTGTATCCATTAATTGCTCTATAATCATCCTAGTACCCACTCCTTTTAAATTAGACAAAACTGAATTGCCAAGATTTCTATACTTTTCTCTAGGATGTTCTAAACAGGCAATAGAGCTGAGGTTAGAGGAACGCAGGGACACAGGATTTCTGCTGTTCCCGACAGACCACTGCACCTGGAGAGCTTTCATGTATTTCAGCATGTCTTGTAGAGGGAGCAGCTACTAAGAAAAGTTGCATAAAATTAAACATCATAGGTATAGATTTTTTTTTTTTTCAGGAAAGAAAAGCTTTTAAACAAGATTTAGACAGCTGAATACATTAAAAACCTGTGTCTAAAAACCTCGACAGAAAGAAAGGGAGTTCCTCAGCTGACTGAGTCTAGTCAGATTCTGAAATTCTGAGATTTAGGATATCATGATGGCAGTTGACTTCAGGTAAAATACAAAACAGGACCATCTTCGACCTAGAGAAGACTTGAAACAACAAGGCTCAAGTCTGGGATAGAAAAATATAAATTACTAGTAGTCCTAACTCCAAGGAATTGATGTGGAACAATTCATGGGTGATGTATTGAGATTCAGGTCCTTCACCTAATACACTTTCAAGCAGTACAGAAATGTTCAGAAATTGCCATGGAAGACCAACTATAATGTTTGATTTAAATATTAAAAATAGATATGCTAGGATAAGGATTTTCTGGTTTGAATATTTAATTTGCAATTATAAGAAATAATCAAACATTTAAGCTTATGTATTTTTTATCACACAATATACAGATGGAGATTTTTATCTCTCTGATGAAGTAGAAAGGCAAGAGATAATTTATTCCCCATCTAACTTTACAGCTCATCAGACATCTGTGCAATTTGTCATATGGTTTTTGCTGTACTGCTTGTGGTTTAGTATTCTAATGTCCCCATGTCTTTAACCAGCACCTTTCCTGTCTTTGGCCTCTTCCAACTTGAAAAAGAATATTTTTTGCAGATAAAGAATTTATAATCAGAAAATGGTCTCAAGTCAGGTGCCAGAGTGGTAAGGATTCAATCCTTTTACAGGGACAACCTTAAAGACCAATATCTTGTGCTCTTGCAGTGCTTTCTAACCCTGAAAATCAGCAGATGTGCTTTACAAAGGGTCAGATGCTTGATGTCAAATGAGCTACAGAGGCAGATCACAACTATTAAATGTTTTTGGTTTTTTACAGTTGTTGCACATTTTCCTATCTCATCCCATTTTCTGAGAAGCATATTTGACTCATATTGAAGGTACCTGGATGCAGAGGTAGTCACAGATAAGAAGTAACCTCAATACAATTTTATAAAAATCTAACACCTCCCTCGTCTTTTTATAAAAATGTCAAGTTAAAACCCCTCCATGCTTCAAGGAAGAAAAAAACCAAAAAAGCCTGCTTTTGAGTGGTTTGAATGTAGTTATTTTTAACAAGAACCATATCTTATAACTTTTCACCTGTTTTTTTCATGCCTGGTTATGGTAACATGCATTAGTCACCATGACAACAACAAATTGGAGCACGCATGGATACAACACTTCTGGCTGAAAAATTAATAATTTTCTCCCTGTAAAAATTTTAAATGCTCTGCAGACCAGTCAAATCCTCATTGTTTCCTTATGTGTTAGTTCCTAGACTGAGAGGAATTTTTTAAGCTCCTTATATTTTTGGCTCTTGAAATAATGGGAACAGGGTTATGGTGTACTTAGATTTTAAAAACTTCTAAAGCTTGGTAGTCAAAACGTTCCCTCTTCGGTAGAAATGTTCCAAGGAGGCATGGCAAAAATCAGGAGAAATCTACAGCTCCCCTGAAATACTCTGCTGAACAACAGGCTGTCATCCTTACCACACTGCAATATGGATCACCAGGATCACATGCACAGCCTTTGTGACTGTCACAGAAGTGATAAAAACTCAGGGCACCATCAGCATTACCTCTAATTCCCCCAAAGGTGACTCTGTAAACACAGCGTGTACCTCAGCTGGGCAAAGCCTATGGGCTGACACAGAAAGGGCAGCACAACACACCGTGGGGGTGAAACTGTGCAAACCGAGCTGTTTACACGGTTTCCCGCTTTGGAAAAGTGAGTGAACGAAAACATCAGGAACAGAAGTCAAAGCTCCCCCTGAGCGAGACTGTTGCTGGCAATGCCCCCACGTCCTGTATGTATGTACACCATACAGCCAACATATGCTAACCACATGGCACGACACACGGATGTGCGCACACATAATCCTCAAGGAGGGCAGACAAGTTACAAACTTTTGTTACCATTTCAGCGACATGACACCCGTAGATAACACCAAGGCAACAGACTGTACATCCAAAGAATGACAACATAGCCATTTATTACTGTATCTTACATTATGAACCTGATGAATCGATGAGAATGGATATCCTGCATTCTGGTTGGTCCAGATCTCACAGACCGAAGACTGCTAATATAAACAGAAAACTGTATCTCATCTTGTAAATATTAATGCACTGCAACTGCCAAAAGGCAAGAATAATTAAGAAAAGGCTTGCAATAATATTAAAGAAGGAAGTAAAATAGCTGTTAAATGTAATTTTATTTATTTGCTGACAAAATATTTTTGGACTGGTTGGAAAGACGCATAGCTTATTCAGAGACTCTAGAAGAGGTTTCAGACTGTGAGTACAAGAAAACAATTTAGTCAGAAATACTTGTGAGATAAAGTTATGCAGGCATAAACAGAAAACACAGAGAGCAGAAGAAATACTGGTTACTTTCAGGTTTTGGCAGGGAAGAAGTTTGAAGTCAACATCCTGATTAAGTTTTGAGACTTAAATCTCTCTCTGTTGGAGACTTTCACAGGTAGGGGAAGGGAAAAATCTGGCAAGACAATCAACAGAAAAAATATGTTTTCTCTGTAACAATTACCAGAAAAGAATGCATTGCAATCAAGTGAAGCAGCTGCCCACCATCTCCTTCCAACAACAAGTCCTTTGCATTCAAAGATACAGATAATATTACCTTTGGTATTGACCATGACCCCAAAGCGTAAATGAAAGGTTTCAGTCTACCTTCTACATTATTGTACAGAATCTGTAATAGCAAAGCAAAGTCAGCATACTGTAGCATCTCTAGCAAAAGCAACAGGCAAGCACGGCATTCAACCAGCATCTTTTATATATTTCCTTGTTTGGACACTCATCAAGAAAGCATCTGTGACACCTCAGCAAACGCTAAGATAACATTTTACAGTAGCCAGGCAACTAAAACAAAGCATCAGACATAGGATCTGCCCACGCTATCTTCAGCAGGCAGCAACAAAAAGCAATCAACAGACATGAAAAATGCAACTGCAGTATCCAGAATAGATAGCAATTAATATATAAGTAATTTAACAACAGCAGGAATGTGCATTGCTGGTTCTCGTCAGCAGCGGTAGCAGGAATCTAGCACCAATGTTCAAAACAACCCGAAAAAGTGCAACTTTTCTTAAAACATGGCTCTTGCTCTTACCTTTTGTAGCCGGCAACCTGGCTGCCTGGCTGGTGACAGACTAGGTTATCAATTCTGGTTACTGCCAGGGAAGCCTGGCATCCTCTGGCCTGACTAAAAAGCACTGCCAGACAGACTGGTGGCTGCCTAATGTTGTTAATAGTCCCTTATTTCCTTCATGATCTGAAATGCATGAGCACAAATCCCTTCCTCCAGCTTTAGTAATTCTTAAACTTTCATGTATCTGGTTAATTTCATCTCCCTCATCTTGCTTTTGAAGTTATTTGCTTCTCCTTTGTGAGATGCAGGGCTCTATGTTTTGATAGCATTAGATAATAAAAACTTTGATTTTTGCTCAGTCTTCTTCCCCATCTTCTGCAACTTGCTACAAAACAGTCCTCCTCCACGTGATGAACAAACAGTCTCAGTGCAAGGTCACCAGCAAACAGTGCTGCAGCTACTTCTGCTGTGCCATCATTAGAACAGTGCACTAGTTGGTACTAATGACATTTTTTTGTGTATGTCAAGCAAACTGACTTCTGGATGCTCTGGCCATGCTCACTGCTGTGATGCCTACCTTTGTTTGCCTGGGGATGAGAAGATTCCTGAATAGGAATCGATGGCAGAAGCTTGTGCCTTCGCTTTTCAAGAGAAGAGTAAAGAGAAGGCATTTCCATGCCAGATGAAGCATACTCAAGCATCTGGTAATCAAGAAGACTTATTGCAGTGCTATTTGGACACACTCACTGAGGTCCTGAAAGCAGCAAGGTATGGCAGCAGGGTACTGTATGTTGGCAGATGTTTTATTTCTTCCCAGCACTGGCATGGAGTTGCCATGACACCATCACATTGTGCAGCTGCTTCTCACCATCTTGATATTCCTAAGACAAAAGTGTGTCCTTAAATCCTGCCCCTCTCAAGGCCTTACCTTTAAGGATTGGTGTGGGGCCTCAGCCAGATCAGCCGTGAGCTGGAGCAGCAGCGGCGTGTGGGGATCTCCCAGCAGAGCTGCCATAGCAGTCCTGCCGTGCTGCGGCACCTAAAGCTATAAATACACTGGGTACATCTGTCAGCTGCTTGGGTGCTAACTCAGGGACAGGTAACACAACACTGTAGTAAGTGTGGGCACAGCCTTTAAGTTGCTCCATTTAAAAAGAGGGCAGGCAATAAATTTTTTTACACATGTCAATAGTACCCATCCTGCCTCTCCCTCCCCAGCTCATCTTCTCCTAGATGAAGACACAGAGGTTAGGGCACTTTCCCCAGGAACTGGGGACTCTTGATTTCATGCCCTTCTCTGACTGAGGGGACTCACACCTATGTTATTTCACCTTTCTCTTTCAAAGGTTAAAACACCCGCAGAAGGCAGGCTGTCTTCAACCCCTTTTATAAATGGCGGGAAGTCCTTCTAATTAATTCTTTAGGGAAAGAAGAGTGCCCAAGATGTTTGGAAGCACTCACATATGAGAGACAAGTTTTGGGTCCAGGTCTCTGCTTCAAGAACTGTGGAAATGAACTACCCCCATCAGACAGACCTACCCCCAGAATTAAAGGTTTTGAGGATCTAGGCTTAAGCTAAATCATCTTTAAATACCGGTGACTTGATTTATTAAATCAACAATAAATCAAACAGACCAGCAGAAACAGAATTTCCCATGAGTGTATGAATGCCCAGTCTGAAGGGCAGCAGTGCAAAACTCATGACTCTGTTTTGCACTCGTTATTGTTTGAATGACTGAGGTACTGGAATGCAGTACAGAAGGAACATTAATTTTATGGATGGTAACAAATTCAAATTCAGAAATCAACCTTTTCCTTGCACCATTGTAAAAATATTTAGCATTTACTACATACGTATTTTATATCTTCAAAGTGCTTAAAATTTTTAATGAATTATGAAATCCCCAAAAGAAGTACTCAAAGTTACATATCCCTGTGCTGAAGAGGAAAGAACCAAGGAAAGGAAAAAGGTTAAGTGAGTATCTGAGGCCAGAAACTTGGCAGTAGGAGGAATAATGGAGAGTAGGCTTCAAACACTCACAATTTTCAGCTCCCAAAACATATGCTCTCAAAAAACAGGTAAAAAATTCAATCTGTGCATACATTTCTACCATAACAAACACAAATACACTTGGGGCACCTAATACCACTGACACAAAGGTTATGTGAAAAAGGGTTTAACAAAGAATATTTTCCTAAGTAATATGGTAAAGATGAGCAAAGAAATAGCATCTGCTATTGTCTGGTTAGTATCAAACATGCCATTATCTTAATACTTCTCAAAAGATAAATGCTTATAAGTAACATGACAACAAGACTCTGCCATCATACTGTTTTTGTGGTGTCCCATGCATGAGAGATTTCCCCATCTGGTCATGGCGGGACATGACTCTGACAGGCGGGATGGGCAAAGGAAGGGAGAAGGTCTCACAAAGTGAATAGAGTTACCCAAGGAGAACTTTAGGCTTCCTCCTAATAGACAAGGAAAACTTGGCTGGTAATCTCAAGAAAGAAAGAAACCATAAGATTGTTCATAGAAATTATATGCTTTCTAAGGAGAGGAGGAACAGGAGCTGCGTGGAAGGAGTCCAGAAGTATTCATTACAGCTCAGTGAATTTCACTCGATGGCACTTTAGGAGATGTCAAGGATTTACCTAAATTAGGAGCAATTATCCTTGAAAGTCATAGAAAATACTGAAAGGACCAAAGAAGGGCTAAAAGAATATTTAAGATGTGACAGAAGAAAGACTCAGAAACTTATAGGCAGCCCAACTGCAGGGACCAGCAAGTGACTAGAAACTGTTTCAAAATCCAGCCACCATCCCCCGATTCTCATGACCTTCTGCCATTACTCCTGGTCATCTGAAATAAACACTCAGAAATACATGTATGCATGTGCGTATATTTACATCTATGCATCCATTATCAAGAATAACAAAGAAAAAGTGTAATATTGCCTGCCATGTGTTACCAAGACAGCTTCTATGAGCCAAGAAAAATTCAAGATGTTTATAATGAGGTTCCTCAGTATGTATCATCTCAGATCAAATTTTCTTCTTTGTTGGAAAACTAGCCAATTAAATCAGTGGCATCAAGGAGAAGTACTGCAAGACTTGGACACTGATGCAATAACATATGAACAACTCCCATACACAAATTTAGCCTGAATCAAATGCAGTGGTTGCACAAGAAGTTGAAATTCACCTTTTGAGAATAATTATTGGTATTTAAGCACAAATGGACTGGAATATGCCAAGGCAATCTGCAAGGACCTGCTCCATGCTGTGGCCTGGAGAAGTGCCAAGGCTAAGGAGGATCCAGAAGTGAGGGACTTTTCAGAATGCGGTAAGAACTGAAAATGGATCTAATGAACTACAGAAAGTCAGATAAAATTCCGTAGGATTACATACAGATATAAAATAGCAAACAAATTAGCAGAGTGATTTAGGTTGCAACAGGACAAAGAAGATCTGAAAGTTTCAGTATACCTCAAATTAAATAAGGTCAGTCTTTAAAAAGAAAAAGGAAATAAATCACAAGATAATTCATGCTGTAAGGGAGCTCAGGAAATCTCCATTCCAACTCCAGCTCAAGGCAGGAGCAGCTGTGAGATGGGACCAGATTGCTCAGGGCTTCATCCAGTCAAGTCTTGAAAACCATCGAGGACAGAGACTGGGCAGACTCTGTGAGCAACTTGTTCCCCTGCTTGCCTGTCTGCATTGGGAGGAAATTTCTCTTGGCATCCAGTCAGTGTCTCTCCACTTTCAGTTTTAGTACCCAAAGTCACCTCTTCTCCAGCCAGCCCTGGTTGTCCAGCCTCTCCTGGGAGGGCAACTGCTTCAGCTCCCAACTATCTTGGTGGCCCTTTGCTGAATTTCCCTCTCCTAAATAAAAAAACCCAGGTATTCAATAAAAGTAGCCATATGAGGCAGCCACCAGTGAGGTCTCACATGGGGTGGCATCCAGTTTTA